TGTTACATTTCAATTACAAGCAAAGTATAATTATAATTTTGAATTGTAATTGATATATAAGTACATTATTACATTACATTTGCTATTATCAATTACATTTGTTGCGACTTTTTCATGATGTCAAACATTGAGTTGAACTCTGTATAGGACTAGATGCAAGGTGTGCAACTGGTTTGCCTGTATTGATTTCATTTTGTTTTTCCAGCCATGAGCATTGAGCACTCTCTTTCAGATGATTATAGCTGGAAAGAGCTTATTTAAGGCTTTTTATACATGTGGAATTCGAGTTTAATGTATGATCTTAGTTTCCTAGTGGATCAATATGTATGTCTTTTATCTTTCTTGTATGCCTTTATTCCTTCTCATCAAGCTTTGTATTGTTATGGGTCACAGCTCTTGTTACAGCTTTAATATGTTCCTAGCATAGGGTGTAGTATATAAGCTCTGTTTCTGTAGTATAGTGTCAAAGGGTCAAAACAATCTTAAGGTACTGTCTTGTATCACATGTTCTGTTTGTTGTACTGACTCACATAGTGTAGTGTTCATTGTCTACATATTCTTACAGGTTAATGCCTCTATCTCTCTCACACACAAGTGTACAAGGAAGGGTTTTTTGACTTGCTTTTGTGTGGAAGACAGTAGATACACAGGCAGGGTTCATGTTTGAAGAAGAATTCAGGTAATGTATCCCTTGTAACTTGTTTTCCTCCCTTTTTACTAAGAACTCAGCTCAGCTCCTTTACTGTAAGTATACTTGTATCTGTAATAATATACAACTCAGGAATAGTAGTAAATAAATACAGAGTAGAGATTAATAAGAAATAAGTCTTTAGAATGAGTGAAAACAATTTTACTAACATTCTTAAGGGTCCTATTTGGATTCTGAGCATATCCAAGCTCTTTAAACATACAGTAGAACTTGTCTATAAGTATACTTGTAAACTAGTATAACTTGTCAATATATATGAAAATTTGAGTCTACTATAATAGTAGGTAGGAAATTAGAGTAACATTAAGTATAAATACTATTAGGTATTAAGTATATGTAAGATATACTCACTTTACTAGTCCTAATCCTTAGGAATAGTAATAGAATAGTATATAGAGGGTAAGACTTGTAGACTTGTAGAGTGAGAGGGTAGAGGAGTCCTACTTTAGTCAAGCTACAAGTGTAGCCTAGTAAGTTAGTAGTAGAGTACTTCCAAGTACTAGGTAACTTAAGTTAATAAAACTATCTTTTTGAGAGCCAAACTAGCCTTCTTATATACCTTTTGCTAGAGTAATGTTACTCTAGTAACTTTAGTAACTCCTTTTACTGTTGTTCCTATAAAGTAGAGCTGGCTAATCCTTTAGACTGTATACTGTACTAGTTTGTGTCTTCTATTAATCTTGTAACACTAGTTTGTGTCTTCTTGTATTCTAGATTAATCTTCTAATGACTCCTTTACTATATTGTTGTGTCTTTCATACTTCCTCTCATACTTCTAATGACTCCTTATGAGTCCTCCTGACTAGTTATACTATGTAAGCTGTGTAATACTTTTCCTATAAAGTAGAGCTTTCTATTATTCTGTAGTCTTCTTATAACTCTGTCTGACTCAACCTGTACTTCCTGTATACTAGTTTGTAATACACTTTCTTATAAGGTAGAGTATTATAACTTCTAATGACTCCTTATAACTTCTGTAATATAAAAGGCTGTACTTCTGTACTACCCCTAGAACTTACAACCAAAGTTCTAGACTGTCTTGTGTACACTCTAGAACTGACAACTAATGTTCTAAATCTTTCCCTAAGTCTTCTTTAATAGACTTAGTTTAGGAGACAATTATCCTTATTAACTTCTAACCTTATCTTTATACTTCTGTATTCAATCATAGAAATTACAACTAAAGTTCTAGATTGTCTTATGTATTCCTTATGTTGTCCTTATATAGTCCTCATGTTTATAACTTTATTACTTTCCTATCTGTATGAGCAAAGTGTATAAAGGAGACTACTTTCCTATAGTCTCTCCTTAGAGCTCTCTGTTCCCTTTCCTTTACACTAGTACTAGTCCTCCTCAAGTATAGAGCTTTAGAGTACTAGCTCTAACTCTTTACTAGCTTTAATAGTCCTTTGTCTTTGTACAAAGAGTTTCTAGCTAGCTATGTAATTTCTCCTATAAGTAAGTATAATATTTTCCTTTATCTCTTAAGGTTTTCTCCTAGTCTTTTCTATTATACTTCTTACTCTAGACACTATACTCTTTCTAGATCCCCTCTCTATACAAGCATTCTAAATGACTTGTCTTTAGTTAAGGTTATCAAGTAATACTGTGCTAGAGTATGTGTTTAACCTTAGAGAGATAAAGACCTTGTTTATAGGTTTTATTACTTTTTCCTAACTGACTTAATACTTACTCCTTCCTGTCCCCTCTCTCTACTAATAGATTAATTACTTATTAGTAATGATTAGAGGTTAATAATGCTAAACTGGAGTTCTTACTAAGTAGGACAACAAAGGTAGTCTAGTTGATCTGGCTAATCTTTAGATTTGTAACTAA